CTGTTGGAAGGGAGAAATGAAAGTTGGAGGGGTAGAAGGAGGGGTGTCTGTAGGATAGTAGTGATATGCGATGTTTATTGCTTCTTTTTTTAAACTGCACAGTATTTAAGTGATTGTATAAAGGAAAATGAAAATGTAATAAAAGATGTCAATTAAAAAAAAGCTAGCTATTTCATGGGATATATCAACAGAATTAAATACTCACCACTGGCATGCAAATTTTTCACTGTCAATTTCTACTATTCCTGGTGGTGGTGCAACATGTTGTGGTGCTCTTGTTGCTATGAAAAGAAATAAGAATTATCAATTTTATATAAAAATATATATAAACTTTGGATAGCTTGTCATTACTCTTTAGAAGGCTTAGAAACACTACTGATATGGTTCACTTTCCATTATCAATTAAGAATGCTATCCATGCAGAGAGATCAATACACAGATTGCAATTACTCCAAATTTGGGGATGGAATTCATGAATGAAGATCTTTTGGTCACCTAGTAATTTTGCTATATTTTGCTGCCTGGAGACTCCCTGAAATCTAAGGTATGTTTCAAGATTCTAGTAGGGTGAAGCTACCCTACATCCTTCTATCTGGGGTCTACCCATCCTCTTCCACTTAGTACACAGTTTCAGGAGGGATGCACATGGAGTGCTAAGAGAGGAAAGTGACACCCATCTTGCCAGCCAGGTCAGCCAAATCAACTTTGGTGATCAGTGGGTTAATAGATGTCACAGCCAGACTGCCCTCTGTTCTGAAAGGAATTATATTATGTTATTTTTACTTACAGTACTAATAATTTAAAAATCTAGCTATCAAATATTGCAACTTTAATTAAATTAGACTATGAAGAAGAAAATAAGTTCAATCAATCATTCTAAACCTCACATGTTTACACATTCACAAGGAATTAAGAAAATTAGACACTGTTAAAGATTTCATTCATTCATTTTCATTTTATTGCACATCCATCTTACCACAGGGTAACTCAGGACAGCTTGCAACATTAAAAAGACAAAAGTATAAAAAAAACATAAATGATGTAAATAAAATACTATAAAGACCCAAATACTCAGTCCTAAAGAGAGGGGCAGGGAGTAGAATGAGAAATGGGGGAAGATGGGATATATTATTAATTTATCAACCACCTCCAATGTGAAACCCCTCCATTGGAGTCCCAAGCCAATTGGCAAGAGCCAGGTCTTTAGACTCTTGCAGAAGATCAGGAAGGTTGCAACCAATGTCACTCCAGAGGGCAAGATGTTCCAAAGGGCATGCACAATTGCAGAGAAGACTCTTCTCCTGGTCCCCACCAGCTGAAATACCTTAGCCAATGGGTCTCAAAGCATGTCTCCTCTGCTGGCACTGGTGGGGCAGGCCAAGCCCAATGGGATGAGACAATCCGTCAGGTAGCCTGGATCTATGCCATAAAAGCCTTTAAAGGTGATTACCAACACGTTGAATTGCACCTGAAGCAAACCGGCACCTAGTGCAGCTTGTGGAGCAATGATGTTACATGGGCATCTCTGAGAGCTCTGACAGCCCCAAGAACTGCCTGTGCCACCACACTCTGCATCAATTGTGATTTCTGAATGCTCATCAGTAGCCCCATGTAGAACATGTTGCAATAGTCCAACTGCGGCATGACTTAAGGCTTGAATGACTGAGTGCAGGGTTTCCTGATCCAGGATACGCTGCAACTGGAGCATAAACTGAAATTGTGCAACTTCAGTTTGCACAAAGCTGTGACTTCCTCCTGCTCTTTGAACAGGAATTGTGAGTCCAGGAGAGCCTCCCAAGTTGTAGACTGGATCCCTCTGGGGTAGTATCACCCCACCTAGAACTAAAAATGTCAAAGTCCTGGGTCTTGAGGCTCTATGTAGTCAAAGCTATTTGGTCCTGACAAGGTTCAGTTGAAGCCTGTTGTGCCCCATCCAGGCCCACACAACCTCCAGGCTGGGAGTTGGCAACCTGCAGCCTGAGAAGCGCATGCGGCTCTTTGACCCCTCTCCTGTGGCTCCTGCGTCCTTCGCAGGCAATTCAGCCCTTTTCTTGCTCTCATTTCTTTCTTGGCTCTCCTGCGCCGCGCTTTCCTCCCTGCATCCAGCAATGGCTGCTGCTGCTGCTCCCCATTCCCCTCCTTCCTCAGTCAACACGAAGCTATTCACCTCACTGCACAGTGGCGGCAGCAGGAGGAAGAGTTGGTGTCCCCGCCCCCATGATCCCAGCCCATGAGGGTATTTTGCTTCTGGGAGAGAATGAGAGAGAGGGAAACAAATCAGAAAGAGAGAAGGAGGAGAGAGAAATGAGAGAGAGCTGGAGGGAGAGAATGAGATAGAGGGAAAAAAGAGGAAAACAAATCAGAGAGCAAGAAGGGGGAGAGAAAGGAAGAGAAATGTAGGAAAGAAGAGAAAGGAAGAGAAAAAAGAAAGAAAAAAAGAAACTTTCTCAGAACTATAATGAAAGCAATGGCAAGCTAGATCTCTTACTAAGAAAACTGTAGTTTGCCAGAAGCACAAATTAGAGGCAAGTCTGAATTTTTTAAAGGAAATAACAGAGATGGCAAAAATGCATCTGAAAATAAGATTATTTATAATTTTGGATAATGTATTATATTCTCAAACTCAAAAAGAAATCAAAATATATATGCTATTCCTGTTAGTACAATCTTGCCAGTTTCTATCAACTTAGAGTTCACTATGAAAAGATTAGATTACAGAGAAGCAAAATCCCATAATTAATAACTTTATTTTGGATTTGTATTGAATGAGAAGGAAAGAGGGAAAGGGAATGAAGGAAAGAAAGAAAGGAAAGAAAGAAAAAAAGAAAAAGGAAAGGAAGAAGAGAAATGGAGAGCTAAAAGAGAGAAAAACAGAAATGAGAGGGAGGGAGGGGAGAGAGATGGGGAGATTTAAGATTTAGTTTATTTGTATGCCACCCTTCTCCGGGAGGGACTCAGGGCGGCGAACAACTCAAAAGGGGAAAAGGGGATACAAACACAATACACGTAATTAAAATACACAAGAGTCATACAGCCATACAAGTCGAGAGGGGAGGGGAACTCATCAACCCCAGGCCTGCCGGCACAGCCAGGTTTTAACGGCTTTCCGGAAGGCCTGGAGAGAGGTGAGGGTCCGAATCTCCGCGGGGAGTTCATTCCAAAGAGACCAAAGAGAGAGAGACCCATTTCCCACAGAAAACACAGCCATGAAACCTGGGTAGACGTGGCTGGGGTGTGTGTCATGTGACTGGGTGGAGTGATGTTGGGTTGGCTATGCCCACCAAGGTTTTGTGGCTCCTGTTGTTTTCTTTTCTGTGGGAAACAGGTCAAAATGGCTCTTTGAATGTTTAAGGTTGCAGACCGCTGCTCTAGGCATAGCGAAAGGGCAAACAGCATCACTTGGGTGACCAGTTATAGATCAGATACCTCAACCCATGGTGACAGATGATCTCACCCAGCGGTTTCATATATATGTTAAAAAGGAGAGAGTACTGAGCCCTGCAACATGCCATTATTATAATTTTTTAGTTCTGTATTAGGATTTTTCTAGTAAACCAGGTGGTTTAAAACCCAGGATTCTGAAGGAGATAACAGATGTAATCTTAGAGCGACTGAATCTTTCATAATTCCTGTAGCACAGGGGAACTATCAGAAGACTGAAATAGAGCTGATGTGGTTCCAAAAGGAGGAAAAATGGATCCAAGAAATTACAGGCCAATCAGTCTTTTTTTTACTATTGACCAAATCACCACAGCTCTTTAGATAGATGGTAAAGCTATAAAAAATACAACAACAATAAACTGTGTTAAGAAGTATTGCAGAAAGAATACACACACACACACACACACACATACACACACACAGAGTACTTACAGAACATAGCAATGGCTATTTATGAAAATAAATCACCTAAGCATATCCCTACTTCTACTGCATAGAAATAATAAACTATACCCCCTCATATTTTGCTACCATCACAATTTAGAGATTCATGTTTCTATAATAAAAGACTACCAAATGTATCTAATCATATTCCAATATATAATCTACAGAGTTTTTAAAGATTTATCTCATTTCTATTATTTTTTATAAATAATTCAAGGTGATAAACATACCTAATTCTTCCTCCTCCTCCTATTTTCCACACAACAACAAGCCTGTGAGATGATTTCAGCTGGGACAGTGACTGGCCCAAAGTTACCTAGCCAGATATGATGCCTAGGAAGGACTAGAACTTATGATATCCTGCTTTTTAGACTGGTGCCAATCACTAAACCAAACTTCAATAGGATAATACTAACCTGGAGTAGCAGGGGCATGTCCCTGTGATGAAACTTGTTCCACTGCTTGTGGCCTAATTTCAGAGAGTACTTGGTGGTTGGTACTTTGATGTTCAACAAGTTTTACTACATTGAGTGCATCACCTCCAAACATCTGGATGTCCATTGAAACCAGGCATACTAATGTATCTATAAATTAGCATAAATTAATTTATTTTATTCCACTAAAAGAATTAATTTCAGAAAGTTATTGCATTAAGTTAAACTGAATTCATTTAAAGTATAGCTTTATAGCTTTGCTAGACCTATTTCTATTTGTTTTGGCATCATAAGCAGATTTCATGATTGAAATTTCCAATACCCACTTCTGTTTGTTTTATTTAAAAATTGAAACAGATTTTTGTATAAGCAAAAATGGTTTTTTATTAGTTGGGTTAGTCTATTGCTTACCCGTGACACATTTATTGATTCTATGTTATCCTTTGCACCTTACCAAAATACTTTAAAAGTTTACCATGATAGGAGCTATGCAAATTAAATAAATATAGTATCTACATAATTTTATTGGAACAAATAACTTTCAGTTTTCCAACTGTTTTCTGATCCTTGCCATGATTACCCATAGCACAGAAAAGAGGAATTAAGACAAAGGACAAGCCATGTATCACTTTACAGAAAAAAAACATTAAACAAATGTTTTTTTGTTTAATACAAGTAATACAATACAACTGTTTTGTTAAAAACAAGTCTGATAGCTCACCTATACTTTTATCAATTTTAGCTATTTTGCTACAGGCCACTTCACCCATTTCAGTGAGCATATAGAGCACTTCCAGAGCAGATGTAACAAGTAAAACATCAGGTAAAGTGAGATGGCAGATGATTTCTTTGTAAGATTCTTGATCTACATATTCACAAATTAAGACACCATTGTCTTCAGCTTTACAAAGATTACCCAAGATTTCCATGCCTGAAACAAACAAAAAACAGTGTTGTATGGATGTCACAAAACAGCAAAATTTGTTCTCTGTTCCCAGAATACAGGATAAACAGTAATAGCTTCAAGTTACAAGAACAGCAAGTGTCAGTTGAGTATTAGAAGGAAAAAGAAGTGGTGGTAAGTTACTTCACAATAAATATCTACATAGATTTAGATTTCTGTACTGAGTAGAAGGTTGGACTCAGTCTAAAGTGATGGTTCTTCCTCTGATTTTTATAAAAATGATATTTTACACAAGATACTGTAATCACATAAATTCTTACCACGCATTTTTAAGAATCTATCTCTTGACATTAAGCACTTAGTAACAGTATGAAACATTAGATGAGTTGTTTTAAAATCAACAGGGTCCAAAAGAAGCTGAAAAATAGAAAGCAAGTATTAATGATTGAATGATTCATCTTATTCATCATTAATAAAATTAATATCATTATGGAAATCTTCCAAATTAAAGTAATACTTAAAACATATTGAAAATGTTATATCCTATCTGTGGCTTTCTATGCACTTTGCACTTAAATAGCTAGTTAATACTAAAATTAAAATTAAAAAAATATGAAATTGGTATCAGCAGCAGCAACATCCTAATCCCAAAGTTCAAATTTCTATTCAGTAACAGATCCAGTGTCTTAATTTTCACTTTTTCCATTGTAACCTCTAGCCCATTACTAGCGACAAATATGGTAATAAATATTTTCCCAGTTAGACAGCAATCTGTTAAGTATGCATCTTAAAGGACAATGTTGTGTGACTCCACAGGACAATGTTAAAGTATCAAACACCTATCATCTGAATGTACCATGGATGAAGGACTAAAACCACTGTAACGCAATGTCTCCAACACCTAATAAAACCAATACTTCAGAATAGTTTTGTGAGGTTTCAAAAACCACCATCCAAAGAAACTAGTAAAGCCATACCTTTCTCAGTCAATTTCCACATTTTAACTCCAAATATTTCACAATATTGGATAATATCATTCTGAAAATTACTTAATTTGCATTACAGATAGTCCTTGACTTATAAAGGCAATTGGGACCAGAATTGCCATCGCTAAGGGCTATGGTTATAAAATACAATGTCATGTGACTGCACCATTTAGCGATGGCAATTCTGTCAGTGCCATTTCTTGTCAATAAGCGAGGATCACTCAGGTTATTAAGCAAGGATCTTCTGTGACTGCTATTTACGATTTCTTGCCAGCTTCTTTTTCCACTGACTTTGCTGGTAGGAAGCTGGAAGGGAACATTGTAGATTGTGATCATGTGACCATGGGGGAAACTGTGATGGCCAGAACTCCAGGGACTGGTTGTGAATATCATTTTTTCAGTGCCATCATACCTTTGAACAATCACAGAAAAATAGTTGCAATCCAAGGAATACCTGCATTTTTATTATCTATTAATTCAACTTTATCAAAGAAAAGTGAACAATTTTTCTTTTTTAGCTGAATGCAACTTAATGCTTTGTACGTGGGAATAAACACTGCTGAATACGGGAATGTTTTTAATACATATATTTGACATATATTTTTCTATAACTACAAATAGTATATTTTCTAGTTATATTTATCTGGATATTTTATGAATAGATTAATCTTAATTTTTTATTAAAATACATTTCAAGACTTTAAAATAGTATTTATTGGTGCATGATTGCTAAAATGTAAGCCTTGCTTTAGTTGTTCTACCAAGTTTGCATAATAAATGTAAGAACAGTTTAGAATTTAAAGTAATTAATCTTATTCTTTTGAATGATAATTAACAAACAATACTGCTTGTTAAGAAACATGGGATAAACACAATTTTTAATTACATTACATGCTTATTAAGAATGAGGACAAGAGTAGTGAAACCTAAGATATATTTCCATTATCGTTAATTTGTAACTCTTTATATTAATAATCAACATTCTGGTTTTTTAAAAATGTTTCAAGTAGGAGTGTTTATACATTTTATATACCAGATAGGAATATTCATTTCAGTAAATTATTTTTGAATTGTTATGTTCTGGATGTGCTAGAAGAAATTCTCTTAATTCTTCTAAAGGAAGCAAAAATAATACTGTTTTTCTTTTGTTTTTTAAAAAAAAGCTTCTAGGCCATCTGTCATCTAAGAGGTGTTTAACAAAATCCAAAGAAACTGTACTTGTATGTAACATAAAATGCAAAGCTTCATAGAAAAAAAATAGGATTCAGATTTAACCCATTAGCATTGTTATTTCAGGTTAGGTTTGGAACTAAACAACTTTATTTAATGATCTGAAAAATCACCAATACCAATGTGTTTCCTTTTATATAACACACAATAAGGTAAGATAGCTTTTCACTCCTACTTCATACTTTAAGCTATTTAAATTATAGGTATCATTTTTTAAATTTCTTACCTCGGCAGCAATATTTCCTAAAGTGTCAAGCCCCAATTGTCTTAAAGAAATAAAATGACTATGAGAAGAGAGCAACAAAAAACGAAGACAAGTACGATTAGCTGCCAATAGTTTTACATTTCCCTCCTCAAAGGAGAGATTTCTTAAAATCACTGCAATCTGGAGAACTCTCTGTCCTTCAATATCATTAATGCCCAACTTGCGTGGTGGATGAAATAAAGACTCCCATATCCAGTCTTCTGGTATAGTATCTATAAAAGTAAGATAATTATTTTAATAGTTCAGTTCAAGCTATACCAAAAATATTCTATTATTTATTGACTGCAACTCACCTTGAGATTTGTTTCTGTCAGAAATAAGGTCACGTACTTCATTATCCTCAACAATATCCTTCCAAAACTAAGACAAAAAAAAAATTTTTTTAGTGTGAAACTTAAAAGGGAATTTATTCCTAAAACAGTTGATGTGTAATAATGTAGGAAAATCATGTATTGCTCACAGTATTTATTTACCAGGAAACTTCCTGGGAAATAAGAAATAATGAATTATATGGGTTAATGATTGTCTTTTGCTAAGTGACAAAATCATTAAATGTGGTATCACATGACCAGAACTTACAAAGGTAGATCCAATTGCGGTTAGTAGGTGAATTCTACATGACTATTAGGCACAATTTCACATGATCCTCATTTGTGACCTCCAGCCTCCAGTCTTTCAGTTGGCAACACTGTGATCACTGTAACTTGATTAGTGTCCTTATTAAGTGTCATCATAACTCCAAATAATCTCTGAATAAATAGTTATTAACTGAGGACTATCTGTATTTCCAAAACTTCTCTCTAATGGATCTTTATCTCTAATGGATCTCTATTTAAAACCTGAGGTGCTTTATACAAGCATCTCAGGTTTTCAATGGCAGATTTTGACTCTGTATACATATACATGCACATATACATACACAAATACATACATATATAAGATTATAATAGTAAAGTATAATTTTAGTCTGATTTAGATCCTTTAACTCAAAATTTAAATAAGATTAGTTCAATAGATATGAATTGTAAGATCTTCATATTTAACCTGTCTGTCTTTTTGAGATTTTAAATAAAATCAGCATTTATCATAAGTGTGAGTGTGTGCGCGCGTTTGCGTACAAGAAAATAATACTTATTCTCCCAGGATTTGAATAAATAAAAAGCATAAAAACAAGTTTAAATACTACACTGAACCACCAATTACACAATCTAATTGCCTATCATAAATGTAATTGTAGAAATAAAGTGATATTCAATCATAAATCTGATTAAATTTGTAAGACGCACTATACATGTAACATTAAAGAAATAATAAAACATTAAAAAGAAAATTAGAATTTTAAGCATATAAATATTTTTAGAAACAATGTTAACTTGAATTTTAAAGTAATTTAATGTTTCAACTGCTTTATATAAAACAGCTACAGTTTGGAATGCATCCAAAATCTTAAACATCCAAGCATATTGAAACTATAGTGCAGCATTATTGGAATTAATGGTACAATTAGTTTCCTAAAGCATAATTAGTTCAACTGATGTTGTAGGTTAAACATGTTATACTTTGGTATATTTCCAAATGGCTAATCAAATATAAAAACATTTAACATTCCTGATATAATTATTATTCTTCCAATTTTGTGCATATATTATTCTCGCTGCCATTATGATATGTATAATTAAATATTGCATTTTTGTCATATTTCCTTGTAGGTATTCCCAATAGAAATAATTCCGGTTTCATATCTATTTGC